GCGGCGCGCCCACCCCGGGGCAGAACAACCTCAACCGGCCCGGGCCCCAGCGCACCACCAGCGTGAGCGCGCGCGCCTCCATCCCACCGGGGTAAGACGGGGCCCTGGGGGAGGGGGCTGTGTCACTGCAGGCCAGGAGAAAGCTCAGCCGCCCACTAGAGCCCGCAGCCAAGATTGCAGTAACAATGCAAATGGCCATTAACGTCGCACCCTTAAGAATGCACCCTGTGTGGAGCTTTACCTGAGCCCCTAGAGGGTTGCCCAGGATGTATCTCCTGCACAAGGACCTGTGAGGTGAGTATCCTCGACATCCCCGGGGCACAGGTGAGGTCCCTGAATCACAAAATATTCCCCAAGATCACGCCGTTCACCACCCAGGCAAGCGCTGCGGTATCCCGTGCTGCCTCTGTGCTCCTCAGCTAGTTCCTCTGCGTCCCCATTTATTCCCCTGAACAACTCAGCGTTCCCATGGTACAGACGGGGAGACTGAGGTGTGGTGACTTCTGAGGGTCACTCGGGGAGAGCAGAGATTGGCGCCCAGGCCTTAGGATTCCTGTGTGCACTCGGCTGTCTTAGTGAGTTTGGGGCCTTGGGGCCCATCTGAGTCCCTGAGGCTCTTCCGCCGCTGAATCAAGCTTTGGCTGCTTGCCCATAATATTTCCCTGTAATCTGCACCAGAAGTATCACCATCACTTTGGGTTAACTTGCTGGTCTTCAAACTGGGCTCCAGGGACCCTGGGATGACTTGGAATAGCCACAGGGGCTGGGAGGGGCTGCAGGGAAGACCAGCAAGCAGGAGCCAGGCCCTCTGCTCTCGAATTAGCCAGAGAAGCGCTGCTGCCACTGGAATTCCCTTGTCCAATCTGGCTTTGCCAACAGAAGTTCATGGGGAAAGAACCCCGTCGTTACTGAGTCTGGAAATCCCTGGGCTAAGGTGCTCCAAGTCCTGGACCAGGGAGCCAGGGAGCTCCTGCTGGCTGCTCACCCTGGGGCACAGGCCGGATCTGAGCAGAGGGCCCAGCCTAACCCTCCTACTGAGAGTCCTCAGCCTGGGCCAGAGAGGGAGGAGCAGGTGGATGTGGGCTGTGGTCCTCCAGGGGAAGTGGCAGAAAGGCCAACTCTATCTGTACCCCACCTTGGACAGCCCAGGAGACTGGCAGTAATGACCTGAGTGCATGACCTTCAGGATCACCAGCAGAATCTCCTTGTAATAGAATAGAAAGGACAAGATTGGGTAGGATAGGTCAAAGTGGCATGTAGCATAGTTCCAACAAGTTAAAATTCGCATCATTTCTGCACATGCTTAAGCCCTTGCCAGACAGAATTAATTTGCCTTTGATGTAATGTGTTTTCTTCTTCTTCTCCTCTTCCTCCTCCCACTTCCCTCCCTCCTCCTCCTCCTCCTTTGTATTAGGGACAGATCCCAGGGACACTTTATCACTGAGCCACACCCAGTCCTTTTAAATTTTTTTTTTTAAATTTAGAGGCAGAGTCTCATTAAGCTGCTGAGACTGGCCTTGAACTTGGGATCCTCCCTCAGCCTTCCAAGTCGCTGGGATTACAAGCCTGTGCCACCGTGCCCAGCTGTCACTGATGAAAGTTTTGAGAGCCATTGTTCTAGGGCAGGCTGGGAATTACTCAGCTTTTCTCGTCCAGTATTAATTCTCCAAATGGGGACTGTCGCGCGTCCACGGAGCTGCAGAAGACAATGCAGTGAGTGTCTTCGTGGAGCACGCAGATGGCTAGGGAGGTGGACATAGGGCCATAAAGGAGTCTTTGGAGCCGACCTCTGGAGAGAGGGCAGAGCTGGGGGACAGGGCAGTATAGGAAGAGGGAGCGGTGGTCAGGGAGGACCTCTGAGGAGGGCGCAGATGTGAAGCAGGGCTGTTCCAGGCAGTGGGACGCACGTGCATCTCCAGGGGACTTGAAGGCCTGGACGCTCAGGGCAGGAGGAGTGAGGCGGATGCAGGCTGCAGTGTGGGGCACCAGCCAGAGGGGAAAGGGCATCCTGGGCAGGACCAGCGCCGAGGGGTGGGTAGGAATGAATCCAGAAGGTTCTGGAGACTCCCTTGGGGCAGCGAGCGCCGAGGTTCTTTCCAGATGGGGTAACAGAGCCGCCGGCCCTGGGGCCTCCAGGGAGCCCGCGGTCGGTGCTGCCTGCAGCGGGAGCCATAGAGTGCTCTTGAGCTCAGAGGGTGGTGGGAAGGAAGCCTTCTCCCTGGGGTCCTCCTGGGACCTGCCTGAGGTGGCTTCTTCCCAGCCCCTCTTCGTCCCCCTGGAAGCTACTTCTGACCTTCCCTGAGCTCAGACATTGGCCTGAAGGGCGGGGGCACTGCCCGGGCCTCCCTCCTCCCTCCCCATAATGCGGCCGCTGCCCAGCCTCACCCCAGACCCTGGGCACACAGGCCGAGGGCCTCCAGGGCGGAGCGCGCACTCACAGACCCACCCCGCTGCTCCCGCTGCGCAGGCCCCGCCTCCTCCACGCGGAGCCTCCTGTTGCCAGGGCAACCGAGGCCAGCGCAGCTTGGTGTAAAGGAACTGGGGCTGGGTGTCTCCCTCCGCACCCTGGCCCCCCTCAGCCCCTGTCCTCCCCCTCCCTCCGCCTGTGTCCGTGTTAGCTGGCCAGGGCTGTGGGGACACCACACATGTGTCCTCTTGTTGTGGCCCCTGGAATTCTGAGATGGAGGTGTGGGCGGGGCTGGTTCCTCCTGAGGCCTCACAAAGTCCTACTGTGTGCTGAGTTTCCTCCCCTTAAAGGGACACCAGTACTGCTGGATCAGGACCCACCCTGAGGACTTGCTCGAACTCCGGGGGCTCCATTCTGAGGTCCTGGGTGAGAATTCTGGGGCCAGGTCCCCCGGCCTCTCGCCACCCTCTGAGCGTCTCCTCTGGCCCTCCGCTGTCCAGGGCTTGCTCTCTCTGGCTCTGTCTCCAGCCTCCTCCCCTCAGCTCCTCCATCTCCCTTCCCCCCACCCTTCTGGTTGGGTGACCTTGGGCAAGTGACTTGGCCTCTCTGGCCTCCGTTTCCCCACCTGACAAACAGAGCTGCAGCCACCACCTCTCACAGTCGCAGTTGGCAGAGCTGATGACAGGCAGATGCTTTCCCACCATCCCCCTGACCAGCGTGCGGTGGGCACAGGACGCTCCAGACAGTCCCCACCTCAGACCTGGAATGAGGGAACATGCCCAGAGAGGGAGATGAACCTGCCCAGAGTCACACAGCCAGTGGGGGCAGAGTGTCCACCTGGCTGGAAGTTTTTTCCACGTGTTCTGTACTGGGGCAGGAGCCAGCTGGCCATCTGGGCCTGGGGGACATGCAGGGGTGGGGAAGATCCGTCCTGTCTCCTGACAGGTCAGCGTCCAGCACTTTGGAACACAGCTGTGGGGCAGGGGAACCAGACTCAGAGTTTCCATCCCACGTGGGAGGTGGGGAGAGGGACAGCTGCGGCCTGTTTCTATTTATTGAGCATCGCTGTGTCCCAGGCGCGACTTCAGTCTCTACACGCATCACCTCTCAGCTGTGGCGAAACCCCCACAACCGGTCCTGTTATCTCTGTTTCCAAATGAGGACAGGGAGGCTAAGACACTTGCTCAAGGTCAAGCACTTAAGACCCCGATTTGAAAACCCAAGTTAGCCAGGGTATTGAAGTGGCCACCCCCATGTCCCCATGCCATTTTGGGCCATGGTCCGGAGGGTATCAGGGAGTCCAAGGGAAGGGGCGGACCTGCAGAGGCCAAGTGTGGGCCCAGCTTCAGCACAGTCTTGCTGTGTGACCTACCCGAAACCATTACCCTCTCTGGTCTTCAGTTTTTGCTTCATGTCAAAGCACCTGCCTCCTCAAGTCTGCGCCCATTCCCTCCCCTCCATATTAACCTTGTATAGCACTGCCAACCCAACAGGGGCCAAGGAGGGACCCTTTAAGTTTTCACATCTCTCTCTGGATGCTGAGGACCTCCTGCCATTGGCTGACGCAGCAGACGGTGGGGAGATGGGCTTGGGAGTTGTTTTGGTGGTTTCCTCTTTTTTGGTTTTTTGGTTTAAATTTCTTGCTGTGATTGTATTTGCTGCTGCAGGCTCAAAGGTCTTCATAGTCCAAAAAGTACCACCGACTCAGTCCTGTCCTAGCCAAGTCCAGTCCTGGACTGGTCCCTGCAGCCTCTGGCCTCCCCCTCTTCCTTTTCTGGCCCAGCTGGTGCTGGGGCTGTGATTCTGCCTCCCACGAGGCTGAGGCCAGCCAGAGGCTCCCCACCCAGCCCCCACCTGAGGCACTTCCTGCCCTGCTCCCTGGGAGGCCAGACCACACCCCCTGCACCACACTGCACCACGTGGCCACTCAGGCCGTGGGAACGGCAGCCGCCCTCCCTCCCCACCTGGCCAAGCGCTGGGGGGCCCTGAGACCAGCGGTGAAAGAGGGTGACCCCCAAGCCCCCCAGCCTCTGGATAAGTCTGATCCCCAGATGCCAGTCACCGCCAGATCCCTCTCCAGGAGGTGCGCAGGAGGGAGGGGTCGTTGACAGAGAGGCAGATGGACATGCTCTCCTGCCCCTCCACCCACTGCTGCCAGGGCCGAGGGCTCCCCAGGGAGCTAGCTGCTTGGTGTATGCCAGGGACCTGAGGCCAGCAGGGGCTGGACACGGCCATCAGAGAGTGTGAGGAGTCTGGGGGATGGGGTGGGGGAGGGGCAGGGGCCAGGTGCAGGCGAGAGATGGAACCCCAGCTGACCCGCAGGGAGTGACCACGTGGTCCCCTGGCCATGTACCCACTGGCACAGCCCCCAATCCAGCGTCCCCAGGCTTCAGCCCAGCTCGGGGGCTCAGAGGCTTCTGGAGTCTGGATCGATCCCAGATGGTCCCAGACCAACCTGGTGTGGTCATCCTGCACTCTGACCCAGAAACCCCAGGACCTGGGGCCCGCTGCTCCACTCGCCAGCTGGGGGACCTAGGTGAAGTCACCTTCCATCTCTGCGATCCTCACAAATAGGTTTCGGGAACACAGCTGTCCCAGTGGCAGTGACCTCGGGAGGAGTGTGAAACTGCATCTGGGCCTATGGGTTAGGAGTGCTGGGATTGATTGGTGATGTCTGCCACGGGCGCCGGGTGGGTGGCAGTAGTGTGTAGTAGTAGGTTGATTGGGTGTCTCTGCTCTCACCTTGTCTCTGGGAGTGGAGTCGCATTTGAAATTCAAATTGGAATCACTGTTTCTGAGGACACCGGCCCCTTCCCCCAGGAGACCAGGCTCCTAACTGGCTCCCCCCCTCCTGGAAGGTACTCAGAGTGCATTTCCTAGTGTGTCAACCCCGGGGTCACAGGGTGGGTCGTGGGTCAGACATTTCTAGCAGCTCACAATCTGGTAGAAGAGAAAAGGGTGGAGCCACACAGAGAGAAAATGCTTTCCTCTTCAGAAAAACAAACACTGTCCTTCTGGGTGAAAAGAAGAAATAGATATGAATCCACTGTGGTCAGGTCAGAAGAGACTGGGCAGATGGTGGCCTCTGAGATGTCTCCAAAGGGCAGAGGGAAGTCAGGGATGGATAGTGTAGGCGGGCAGTGGAAACCGTGTGGTGGAAGAACCCGGATGGACATGGGCAGGGAACTGTGTGAGGAACAGCCTCAGCAGGTCTCCCTGCATCCTCCCGTCCTACCCAGCACTGCCTCCAGCCACAGCGGGCAGCATCTGCTCTTCCTTGGCGGGGAGACGCAGCCCATCCCTGTCTCCCAGACTAAGGCTGGGACACTTTTTTTTTTCTTCCCCTCAATCAGAGCTTCCTGCCTCAGCCTCTAATCCATAATAAGAGAAATTGCTTCAGGTGGCCATTCCCAAAACCCTAGCCATGGAAGCCCTGCCCGGGCAGCATTTCCTAGAGCAAGGTGTTGGCCTGCCCTGCCAGATGCCCCTTAGTGACACCTTGATGAATGCCAGCAACGAGCCTCCCAGAGCCGGGAAGCTGTAGGGGATTGCTCTCTGGGACTCTGTGAGTCACTTCAAACCTGTGCAGAGGATGTCTAAGGAGACTGTGTCCCGAGCAGAGCACATGCTCGTGAGTCACCTGCTCAGAAGAGCCCCACAGAATCCACTCCTGCAAGGAGCGTGCATTGAACATCTACTAGGTGCTTATCTGCTGGTGGGAAGTCCGGAGGTCAAGACAGCTGGGCCCCAGCAGGTGTCATTCATCCGAGAGGAGTCAGCCACTGGGAGCTGGGGTGGGGGGAAGCCTTCCTTCCCACGGAGGACACAGTACGATTTCTGGTAAAGGGACTGTGCTCCTGCTGGAGGAGCAGCTGAGGTATCTGGAGTGGAGGGTGGAGAGGTAGGAGATGGGTCACAGGCAGGGACAGGCCAGATGGCACAGGGCCTGGACATGCACAGCAATTGTTATGACACAAAAACAAAAATAAGTAAGGTAAGGACAAAGACAGGGACGTCACTCCACTATGGTGACCTTTGAGCAGAGACCTGGGTCAAGCAGTTCCTTGGGGAAATCTGAGAAAGAGTGTCCTGGGCACGGAGCCAGCACATGCAAAGGCCCTGGGGTGGCAATGTGCGCGTCATGGTGAGGGACACAGGGACACCAGGACGGCAGGAGGGGAGCAGTGCCAGGTACGTGCACAGGAAACAGGGTTGGAAGAGGAGACAGGGTCAGGTGATGGGGAGAGGTTCTGAGCCCTTCAGGAGCCACGGGGACCCAGAGCCTGGAGCACCTGGGTCTGATACAGGACTGAGAAGGGTGACGGCAGCTGCATCCCTGCCCTGGATGAGCCAGATCTGGCTTCTGGCCAGAGCAGATTTCAAAAAGGCCACAATATTCCTCAGACCTGATGGCTGGGCCCCCCGGAGGCAGGGCAGGGGTGATGGTGGTCTCCCTCTGGAGGCCGCAGCGGCAAGCGGTGTCCAGGCGGGAGGATGTTCTCACTGCCGGGAGGAAACGCACATCCCACATCAAAAGGGGGCCCTGGGCGGCTCCCACGCTGGGCGTCATGGGAACCGGGCTACCCAGGGTTCTCGCAGGCGGCCTGCAGATTGAGACGGCTGGGGGCCACCTTGGGACTGTCCCCCTCACTCAGCAGTGGTACATTTAAAAAAATAAAAACACCCCGCGGTCACACGCGCGCACAGCCCTCTCCCGGGGCCAGACTGGCTTTCGTAAACCTGGGCTGTCAGATATTTTGGGGCTCCAAGGTCTAAAACCTTCTTGGGGCACCCCCTGCCTAGCTCCCAGGCCAAAGGCTCAGCAAGGCCAGGTCATCAGTGGGGCCAGACTTTGCCTGCACCATAGACCCTGGCTGCCATGAGCCTCTCTGATTGAGAGCAGCTACTGCATGGCTGTGGCGGGATCTGCTCAGCTCGAGGAGTGCTGGGGTGGATTGGTGATGTCTGCCCTGGGGGGGGGGCACCTAGGTGGTGGTATGCATGCTAAAGAGTTTTCTGTCCACCATTTGATTGATGGTCCTGGATCCGAGGGACGTTCTCTTCTCAGGAGACTCAAAGCAAGGAAGAAGGGTGGGCAGACCCCGGCCGGGAGGTGTTTGGAGGGCAGAGTCAGGATGAGGAGCACTGGGGACATGCCTGTCTGCTGTCCTATAAAGCATGCAAGAAGCCCTAGAAGGTCCTGGGAGATTGTGACAACCTGAGAAGGGCAGATGGATCCTCAGCCCCGCCAGCTTTGAGCCCCAGCAGGTGCCAGGAGAAGAGCGCCCTCCCCTCGCCCCTGTACCAGCCACGAGCTCTGCCCGTGTGGACCCTCAAGACCCAGCCCCTTGCAGATGGGAAACCAGGGCACCGCGCCTCGACCACCTGCACTGACAGGTCCTGGGACACCCAGGGCCTGTCCTCCCACCCCACCATCCTCAGGGGCTGTGTGCAGTGACAACATCACCCCAGGTCCTCCTCCATGGCTGGAGGACCCTGATGTCTCTTTCAGGCCCTGGGAGGGCCTAGGAGGGGTCTGGGGTGAACTACAGCCCACCTGCGTGACCAAGTGGCCACAAGCTGCAAACTGTGCCTGTGGTGGAGGGCCCTCCTGTGCTGGGCATCTGTGTGCCAGCGTGGGGTGCAGATCAGAGTGTGAGCACCTGTGTCCCCCTATGTGGCAGGAGAGAGCGTGTGTCCCTTGTGTGCTGTGAGTGGGTCCGTTGCCTCCATGGGTGCATGGCAAGTCCCTGAGGGCTGTAGGTTCTGGTACTCATGCCAGGGCCAAGTGCCCATCCACCCAATTTGCCATCTGCTCCCCACAGGTCCCAGGAGACCCAGGGCCTGTCCTCCGTGTGTCCCAGAGGGGTGGCCATGACAGGGGCTGTCCCAGTAGGCATGAGCTGGCTTCCCTTGTCCAACTGCGTCCCCCCAGTGGTTAGCGTGTCTGTACGTATGAGCTTCTGCGTGTACGAGGGGTAGTGTGTGAGCGCGTCCCAGCTTCCTGCCGCTCAGTGTCTTCCCCAAGCATCTGTGTTTACCTGTGTGCAGGGAAGTGGGTCTTCTGGTATGTGTGCACGTTAATTTGTCACAAGTTCCCTGGGACAGTATTTGTGTGTCTCTGTGCATGTGTGTAGTGTGTACCTTGGGAGGTTTTGTGTGTGCCTCCGTGTGTGTGTGTGTGTGTGTGTGTGTTCCCAGGCATATGTAGGCACAGTGTCTCTGCGGATGTGTGTGTGTCTGTTTCTGGACCCACCACAGTGGTCCCAAGCCTGCCAAGGGCACCATTTGCTTGAAGAGGCACCCCAGCCAACAACTCCGAGCCAACTGTGCCTACTGGGGACAAGTGACCAGGCAGCATTGGCCAGGCTCCTACCTCTGCAGGCCAGCCAAGAGGCTGCTGCTCCTGCTTCAGCTGTCCCGGTCCCCTCCCTTCTTGACCCCACCCCCACCCCAAGGAGAATCCCCCACCCTCAGATGCTGCTGCTCTTCCCAACTGTCCAGCCTGGGCTCCAAGCCCAGCAGAGCCAGACACCATTCACCTGCATCAGCCGGAGCTAAAGCCATGAAGATTCGGGCAGGCGGGTGCCCAGTCCCCCAGCAGCGCCCCCCCCCACTCCGCGTGTGAGCTTCCACTTTACAGAGTTTAAGAGACTTGCTCCAGGCTGACAGAGCAGGAGTCACACCGTGACTTAGGGGAGGAGGCTCAGCAGAGAAATCCCTTGGCCAGAAGTGTTGGTAACGGTGCAGGTGACAGGATGTGGGTGACAGTGAGGATGCAGGTGACAGTGAGGATGTGGGTGACGGTGAGGATGCAGGTGATGGTGAGGATGCTGATAATGCTTTGAAGTCTTTACTGGGTGCTAGGAATTGTGTCGGCTCTGGACTTGGGGAATTTCATTGAATTCTCACAGCAAACAAAAAAGGAGGTACCTCATCACCCCATGCTGCAGATGGGGAAGCAGATTGGGAGAGGCGGAATGATGTACCGGGGCTCACGGCTGAGCAGGGGCTCAGGAGAAGCGGAAGCATCTCTGGTACTTTTTCCCAGGGACTGCCTTAGTCCCAAGCGCTGATGTTGGTGAATTTTGTGGAAGGAATATTCATCATCAGGTGTCTTTGAAAGACCTGGATGGACTATTGCCGACCATGTACCCTTACACGGACTCAGCAGCGCCTTCAGGATGCCCTCAGACTCCTTAAGACTCTCAGAGAGAGAGAGAGAGAGAGAGAGAGAGAGGGAGAAGTGTTTCCTAATTTGTTTTATCCCTGAGTTCTTTTATGGGTATTAGTGTTCCATACAGCCACATCAGAGCCGTGCTAAATCACTGATAGTTGGATTTAGGGCACAGTCACCAGAGGAACGGAGGAGGCCGGCTGTGGGGTGCAGAGTCCGAGCTAAGCCCAAGGGAGCATCCCACTAGAGTCGCAGCCGTCCTGACCACACCACACCCCAAAATAGGATGCCACGGTAGGAATGGTGTCGTGCACCAAGAGATCAGGGTGTGCCCAGGGATCAGAGACCCAAGGCAAACGAGATCCTCTAATGGGGTCAGGGGGCTGGTGTCCAGCTGCCGCCTCTTTTCTTATTCCCGCAGTGTCCCCGCGCTCCCGGTGAAGAACTTGAATGGTACGGGACCGGTCCATCCGGCCCTGGCAGGTGGGTTGCAGGCCAGAAGGGGACCAGAAGGATGCAGTTCCGCCCATCAGCCCCATGGCTCCGCCCCTTGGCTACTGGTGGGCGGATCCAGGAAAACGCCCACTAGTATTGGATGCACTAGGGGTGGGGCTCAGTGGGTGGGATCAGGGGCGGGGCAAGTGATGGGGGCGAGGCCCTGAAGGAGCATCTGTCCATTAGTGAGGAAGGGCATATGTGAGTGTGGGCGTGGCCAGGGAGATGCCCCACCCCTGATGTTTCGCCCCACCCCCAGGGATGACGGGGATCTTGCTGTGTGCGGCGGGGCTGCCAGTGTGCCTGACGCGCGCTCCAAAGCCCATCCTGCACCCGCCCCCGGTCAGCAAGAGCGACGTCAAGCCAGTGCCCGGCGTGCCCGGAGTGTGCCGCAAGACCAAGAAGAAGCACCTTAAGAAGAGTACGCCTTCTGCAACCCTGCCGACCCCAGCCTCTAGTTTGTTAAGACTTGTCACCTCCCCTGTCTCCCCTGTCCCGGTCCCTGACCCACCACATCCTTCGGGAACTCCCATTATAGCTAGCCCCCAGCAAACCTTGCACCTCTGGGCAGCCCTCCATCCCTAACCCCGTCCCCAGTCAAGCCCAGGGCAGAGGCGAGACTCTGGATGCCCTCAAGGCCCGCCTCTTGTGTCCCCTACAGGTAAGAACCCCGAGGATGTGGTTCGAAGGTACATGCAGAAGGTGAAAAACCCTCCTGATGAGGTGAGTCCCTGGGGAGGGGCCAAGCCTCGCACCCCGCTGCAGACTTCTCTGGGTTTTAGGTAATAGGGGTCCCTCCCCCCAGCAGGCTCTTGCCACTTGGCTTTTGTGAGGTCTCTTGATGACCAGAAGAGCTTGAGGTTAATAGAATCACATGTCAGTCTTTTGAAGATTGACATGAAAATTTCACGTCACATTTCCCCCAAAATGTTTTTAAAGTTTTGTTTTTGAGAGATAAGCCATTAGTACATCTGGAGGGGGTGGAGGGCCAGGGAGCCGTCTCCTCTGGGACCTGAGGGTATCCTCTCTTCCTCTGCCAAATGGCTGCTGCCTATGGTGGCCCAAGGTCCTGCCCCTCCCCTCCCCAGAGCTCATTCCCCCTTCCTGCCCCCAGGATTGCACCATCTGCATGGAGCGCCTTGTCACCGCATCGGGCTATGAGGGTGTGCTGCGGCACAAGGGCGTGCGGCCAGAGCTTGTGGGCCGCCTGGGCCGCTGTGGCCACATGTACCACCTGCTGTGCCTCGTGGCCATGTACTCCAACGGCAACAAGGTGAGCTGCGCAGGCAGGAGGGGAGCCGGCAGGGGCGGGCGCCTGGGCACTCACACCTGCCGCCCCCACCCAGGATGGCAGCCTGCAGTGCCCCACCTGCAAAGCCATCTATGGGGAGAAGACAGGGACCCAGCCACCTGGGAAGATGGAGTTCCACCTCATCCCCCACTCGCTGCCCGGCTTCGCCGACACCCAGACCATCCGAATCGTCTACGACATCCCCACGGGCATTCAGGTGAGGCTACCGGCCCCTCAGGCCCCCACCTCAAGGCCTTCCCCACCCGAGTCCTCCACCTGCTGTGACTTAAATCCCTGCCGCCCCTCCCCGTAGGGCCCTGAGCACCCCAATCCGGGGAAGAAGTTCACCGCCAGAGGATTCCCGCGCCACTGCTATCTGCCCAACAATGAGAAGGGCCGGAAGGTGGGTGTCAATGGGGACACAGGGACTGGACACAGGCAGGGGCCCCAGCTACTGTCAGCCTGGGCCTGGAGTCCCAGTTATCCCCAACCTTGCACCCCAGTGATATTGACCACAACCATCTCCTTCATGCACCTCATCCCCTTTACCAGCCTGCTGAGGTCTAAGTCGTACCCCATTTTACAGATAAAGAAATGAAGCTTCAGAGAAGGCAAGTAATTTGCCCATCATCACACAGCAAAGAAGTGTTAGAGCTATGATTTGAGCCCAAGCAATCCAAACCCTCCACCGCCACACTATATATTGATCTTTTTTCTTTTCTTTTCTTTTTTTCCCTTAGTACCAGGAATTGAGCTCAGGGGCACTCGACCACTGAGCCACATCCCCAGACCTATTTCATATTTTATTTAGAGACAGGATCTCACTGAGCTGCTTAGTGTCTTGCCATTGCTGAGGCTGGCTTTGAACTCATGATCCCCCTGCCTCAGCCTCCCAAGAAGCTGAGCTTACAGGTGTGCGCCACCCACCGCACCCAGCTTGCTTTCTTTTTCAAGAGAAGCCAGACATTGAGATTTTCCATGTGGAATCTCCAGGCTTCTGAATGTTGGAGACTGATCCACAAAGCGGCTATTTAAGACAGCATGGGGTCTAAACCAAGGACAGCCACCAGCCACCCGTTTGAGACCCTTACTTTACAGCAGACAGCGGGAAGGGAGGCAGGATGGGGCTGGGGGTGGGAGGCACTGCCGCTGGGTGGGAGTGGGGACTGCCTGTGACCATGCCCTGCCCCCGCCTCCCAGGTGCTGAGACTGCTCATCACCGCCTGGGAGAGGAGGCTCATCTTCACCATCGGCACGTCCAACACCACGGGCGAGTCGGACACCGTGGTGTGGAACGAGATCCATCACAAGACAGAGTTCGGCTCCAACCTCACCGGCCACGGCTATCCAGATGCCAGCTACCTAGACAATGTGCTGGCCGAGCTCACCGCGCAGGGGGTGTCCGAGGCTGCCGCCAAGGCCTGAGGCCCGGCCTGCCCACCCTCCCTCCTGCTTTGCCCTGGCGGCTCACACCTAGCTCGGCCAGGTGTGCCCTGATGGCCCGTGCTCCGGGCTGGGGCAGGAGCCCGCAGGTGGAGCCCGAAGCATTCTGGGGACTTGGCTAGTGGCGACTGGGATGATGGGAAGAGGACAGGCCACGGGGCTCCCACCATAGCTCGCAGAACAGGCTGCAGAAAGAGTACCGGCAACCGCGGCGACCTCCCTACCAAAAAGACAGCGACCCTCCCCTCACGCCAACACACGTGTCCTGTTGAACACATGCACGCACACCCACGTGCCTCTACTTGCCCCCAAACTGGGGGAGAAGAGACAGAAAGATCCCATGACACCCCGTGTGCGTCCCACGTCTGTCCCCGTGGCTTCTGTACCGCTTGTCTGCACAGAGGACCCCTGGCAGGCATGAAGGGGCCTGCTGGGGCTCCCAGGAGGACACAGGAGTCCACCCCTGGGCCTCACCCACCCTGTATCATCACCCGTCTCTGCCGGCGCACTGAGTCCCGGGGAGGAAGGCCCCAGGTGACCAATCCTACAGAGGGCTGGGCCACAGCAACCCGGGGCAAGGGACATCTTATTTTGTGCTCGTGTCTGTCTCTTCCTCCTTCTGGGACCCTGAACCCCGCCTCCTGTCCCATCTCCAGCCTTATGTCTGTCCCAGATGAAAGCCCTTCTTTCCTCCCGCCCCATCTCCTGGCCAGATGGCGCCCATCTTTGAGACCCAAAGGCTGTAGCTTCTGGCTCGAGGAGCGAGAGGAGGCCTTGATCAGGCCAGCGCCTAGACGAGGGACAGCGGACAGCAAAGGGTTACTTTCCCTCTCCTCGGGAGCGGGCGGTGGGGTGGTTGAGAGTCTCCGGCCAACCAGGGGCCCGTTGCCCAGGCAACTCACCAGCTCCGCCTCTGTTGATTGGCTGCCGCGGAGGACGTCAGCCAAGATTTAAAGGGACGCCAGCGACTGCTCTTTTGAAAACCTACCCGTCCCACTGTGGGTGGAGAAATAAATGGTCTTTCTCCTCCTCGCCCAGCCCCGTCTCTTCCTGCAAGCGGTGGGGGTGGGGCGTCCCTGTTGCTGGGACTTTAGGAACATTGGGGGTGATGGCAACCTCAGGGCCACCACCTGAGGGCAGCTTGAGAAGGAGCAGGGTTCCCATCATCCTCATGTCCTGGAGCAGAAAGGCAGGTGGGTGGCTGGAGCAGAGGCAGATCCTCCGAGCTCCAAAGGAGGCAGAGGGGACAGCGACTTCACAAGAGCAAAAGGTAGTGCACCCACCTGCTCCCTGACCCAGTGACGTGAGAGGAGGAACTCGGGCTGGGAGACTCCGGGAAAATACGGGGAAGCAAGGACACACTGTGATCAGCCCGTTCGGGACTTCGGAGCCCCAGTCTCTGTCTTCAGGGAGACAGGGCAGACCCCAGGATCGCCAAGCGTCAAAGGTTAGCCGCAGCCACAGGCCGGGACGCGGCGTGGCAGCGGTGCATGTTGTGGCTCCTGGCGACCCCTGCTGGCCACTCGCAGAATAGCGCTCTGTCCTGGTGCGATTGGTGCCCAGCGAGGTAGGCTTCGGCTTCAGTCCCACACTCCACGCAAAACCAGAAATGCGCCCTTGGAGGCCCTTCCGGCTCTGCCAGGTCTGTGGCTCCTTCTCAAAAATCTCACCCCAACCCCCAGCACAGAAACTTGCCCACTGCCGGGACCCGTAATTCTCAGACGCGAGGTTCACCCACTCACTTGGAGAAAACCCTGATTCCTGCCCCCGCAAATCCGCAGGCTCTGGATCCGTGGTTGGGAGAGACCCTGGAATCTGTATTTCTAGCAAACAGCCCAAGAGGTGGGCTTTGGTCCTCCTCTGCCCCCGAGGGACTAGATAGAAACCAGATTGAAATCCACACACCAAGGGCTGGGGATGTGGCTCAAGTGGTAGCGCACTCGCCTGGCATGCCCCAGGCACTGGGTTCGATCCTCAACACCACATAAAGATATTGTGTCCACCTAAAACCAAAAAATAAGTATTTTTTTTTAAAAAAAGCCAAACAGCAAAGCTCACTTCCTCCACATTTTATATGGGGCAAGAGCTGGCCCACGGTCTCTCAGGCTATGAATCTGACACACCCGGGCTCCCAGCCTCCAATCTCCCAGAGGGCACCTGATTCTGGAAGCTGGAGTTGGAGCCCGCAGGCAAAGACAATATACAGAAAGACAGTGAGGTTACAGGGATTAGCTGATGTGAAAACAGGAAGAGCTGAGCCCATGGGGGCGACAAGGCCACAGGGGCATTGGGATTCCAGGTATAGCTGTGTCCAGCAGCTCAGGGCAAGCCTGGCTTCCTAGGTGTGGGTAGAGGCTAGTCCAATGAAGAAGGCTCCAGGATCAGAAAAGTCAAGCTCCTTCTCCTGTCCACTCCAGTCCCATTCAACCTGAAGACTCCTCCATTCATTCTGCGCAAGGCTGACCCCTGCCAAAGGCCTGCCTGTCTGGACTCAGGGCACACAGGCCTAGAAGGGTCTCTGAGAGTTTCCAGGAAGCAGCGCTGAAGAGGCTCAGGACAGCCACGGGGAGGCTCCTGGGCCAGGGTGCGCTGAGGAGGCCCCGGGGCTCCTTACTCCTCCTTCCAGACTGGCCCTGGAGCGTCTTAGGGTGCCGGGGGGCCAGGGGCTACCTTCCCCTGGCCCTGCCCCTGGAACTCCTCGTGGGCGTGATCCAGGTCTTCCAGCACCTCCAGCAGGCGGGCTGCCGCTGCCCTCTGCCGGGCCAGGACCTCGGGGCAGGTCCCTGGGAGAGAGATGAGAGGACCGCAGGGGGCCTGGCTGGCTGAGGGTGGCCACAGCGCCTGGTCCCATGGCTCCCTCATGCTGCAGACTTGCTTTGTGCCCCTAAGTCCCCAGATGTGACAGTGGATGGGAAACGGGGAGGGGAGGCACAGGGGTCCACTTGGGAAGCTATGGGGACATGTCTGTGAGGGAGAATGGGACCGCCTCATCCTTACCCAGGGTGGCACTAGGACCCCTGCCCGTGTCCTCCTCCAGGTCTGGGTCCAGACTGGAATCCTCTAGGAATTTCATCCTGGAGGTTGACAGGGACAAAGACAAGACTCAGGTAGAACGATCCTAAATCCAGACCCAAGGCTCGTCTGGGATTCCCAGTCCTGCTCCCTGTTGGTCGCAGAAGTTCTAGGTGCCACCTCCGATCACCATCGTCACAGCAAACCTTCCTGTGTGCCAGACACGGATCTCTCGGAGCCACAGAGAGATGAAGTCACCTGCCTCAGGTCACACAGCATAACCATAATTGTTGGCAGGACTTGAAAGCTGTGTATCCAGGCCTGCAGAGAGCTTTGCCTGGCTTGGCTCATTTGATCCTTAGGACAATACTGAGAGGGAGCCACCACTATCCGCCCCACTTTCCCCATAAAGAAACTGAACAGCGGAGAAGTTAAGTAACTCGCTCCCTAACCAGGGGCCAGGAAACGAGCCCAGGAGTTGTGTCCCGCCATCAGAACCCACAACCAGCCAGGACAAACCCCTGTCACTAAATAAAGAGAAAGTGAAGACCCACATTCAAGGTCCCATGGAGAGCTCAGGAGGCTTCCAGGATTTTATGTGACCCTGCCGTGTCTCCAGAGCATCGGGTAGAACGACCCCAAGATCCCTCCGCCCCGACTCTGCAGACACCGGCTCCTCCCCCACCCCCCGCCCCGCGAGCTGAGCCACCGTGACCATCCACCCAGCCGATTGGCCCTGGGTACCCACCTGAGCTGGTCCCGCCCCAGAAGCAGCTGCCGATACACCATCTGGGTCTCAGCATCGGGATCCAGAGGGTCGCTCCAGTCCCCCAGGGTGATGGCTGAGTGTGTGCGACTGCAACCCGCAGCTGAAGGGGACACGCAGCGTCAGGCGCTCCCCCCCTCCCCCTCCCCCCTCTCTTGCCCAGCGTCTCCTCTCCTCTCTCCTCTCTCTCTCCTCTCTCTGTCCTCTCTCTCTCCTCTCTCTCTCCTCTCTCTCTCTCTCTCTCTCTCTCTCTCTCTCTCTCTCTCTCTCTC